CTGTACCGAGGCCCCCGTACTCTAGAGGCTGGTACGACATCACCCCAACCTGTACCAAGGCCCCCGTACCTCCCAGCTCGTAGGGGCGGATTGAGCGCGCGCCTCGTCGCCTTCCCCTGACGGCGTGGATTGAGACGAGCTCGAGCTGTCCACCAACAACGAGGGGCGGCACAAGAATCCATTCATTGCTTGCATGGACTTGTTTTCAAAATGGAAAATGGGGAACGGTTTTGGATTCAAATTTCAAATTGACAGAAGTCACATACACACACACACACAGCCTGGTCAAAAAGGAGGGAAAAGACCAATGAGCGGGCACGCAAAGTCGCAGACAGGTCTACAGTCTCCAGAGTCAATGAGCACGCAACCTCTACACCCCTGCAGGCTGCAGCGTACAGGCTACGCTCCAACGGACCGCACCAAGCTCGAGGCCGCCGCCGCCGCCATGCCCCTCCGGCGCCTCCTAGGCCTCTCCGGCCGCCTCCGCCGCCCCCTCTCCACCGTCGCCTCCTCGCACCCACCGTGCCACCGCACCCTCTCGACCGCCGCCTCCTCGGACCCACCGTGCCCCGCCCTCTCCACCGACGCCGCCTCCTCGAACCCGCCGCGGCGCCGCACCCTCTCCACCGCCGCCTCCACGCTCCCGCCGTGGGTCATCATCGACAGCACGTTGCCCGTCGACGAATCGTCGTCGGCGCCGGGCGCGCGTCTCCGCCCCGTCGACCCTCCGCGCGTCTCCAGCATCTCCGTCCCGGCGCACCTCATCAACGCCAGGGAGCGCCCCGCCGCCGGCAGCAACGTCGTCCAAGTCCTCGGCGGCCGCGTTGACGCCGCCAGCGCCGACGGCCACCTCCTCCTCACCCACTACGACACCCTCGGGCCCGAGGGTGCCCGCGACTCCTGGAACCTGACCGCCGACATGGAGGCCGAGCGCTGCATCCGCAACCCCGTCACCGGCCAGCTGCTCCGCCTCCCGTACCTCGATGGGTCCAGGAAGAGGCCGGAGTACCGCCACATGGGCCTCCTCACCAAAGCCGGCGACGGGGACGCGCCTCACCGGTTCGCCGTCGCCGAAATCGTGCACCAGCGTGACCGCGTCGTCATCGACCGGTTCCTCCCGGAGACTGGCAGGTGGGAGCTGGTGCTCGGCCTGCCGTGCCACCCGCCGCTCAAGTGGGAGATGGAGATGAACCAGGAGACGGTGGCCTTCCGCGACCGCCTCTTGTGGGTCGACCTCACCCGCGGCGCCATCTCCGTCGACCCTTTCAGCCACCGCCCGGAGTTCCGCTTCGTCGAGCTGCCGGAGGGCAGCAGCCTCGCCGACTTCAGACAAGCCCCCACCGCGACCTTCTTCATGAGGGAGATGGGCAAGTACCGGCGCATCGGCGTCAGCGATGGGAGGCTGCGCTACATCGAGGCTTCTCTTCACGCCCCGTTCCTGCTCAGCTCCTTCGTGCTTGACGACGAGGGCAGGAGCTGGACGCTGGAGCGCCAGGTGGAGCTCGGGCGGGTGTTGGAGGATGGCGGCCACCCGTGCGAAGAGGGGAAGAGGCCGCCGCAGATCGCCGTCATCAACCCGCTCAACGCCGATACCATCTACATCACCGTCGGCGAGCAGAAGCACATCGTCGCCGTGGACATTTACCAAGGCAAGGTGATCGCGAGCTCTCCGCTTCAACACGGATACCGTTCGCTTGTACCATGTGTGCTTCCACCCGCGCTTGGATCAAGCCGGATCCCTACCTACGGCAGGTAATCCATCACTTCCTTGTTCTGATCGATTGAGGCTTGTGCATTTCAGATACAGTACAAAATTTGTATGCGAGTGCTGATTTGTTGGTAGGATTGGTGCTATTGATCTGCTTACACCGTCTTACTGTAGATTGGCAGTTCTCTGTTTGGTAGTGGCGTTCACTCAAGCAAGTGCACATCATCTTTCTTTCTGTCATTTGTGCTTGCTCCTCTTCTTATTTTCGCAGATCGTTTTCGATTCTAGATTATCACAATGGCACATTCTCTTCTTTTAGGGTTAAATAATGTATGTTTTTTTTTGACTGAAGGAGCTCAAAGCTCCCAATTTCATTGCCTGAAATTGATAAACAGTTAAATAATGTATATGCGCCCATGAACTATGTTCATTCATAGAACGACATAGCTATGCATGTTATTTCAATCATGTATTTCAAAAGGACTGTGATATTTGACACACGTGTGCCATATAAGCAAAACTGCCACACCTCTATTTTTTTCATTTTAAAGTACCACACGATTCCTCGTCCTTTGACCTCGCCTCCTCCCAAACGACCCTGTAGGCTCGCCCGAGAAACCCGCTTCTCCCGCACATCTCGGGCACCCACCCCTGAGAAAACTGTCACTTCTTCACGTCTACCATATGATTTCTCCTCAGGACAAAGTTACCATGGTATTTGTATGCAAGTTATCAGGCCTATATTGCATAACTTACCGTGCTATTTACATAGAATGTATCAGGTATCTATGCTTCAAAAACTACATCCCTTCAAAGTTACCACTGTGTTTTGTACACAAGTTATAAGGTCTTCGATGTGTAAAATACCGTGGTACTTACACATAAGTTATCAGGGTATATGTACATCAACCTCCCCCCGGTCAAAGTTATCATGAGGGATTGTACATGAGTTACCGGGTCTACAGTTCGTATATTATCATGGTACTTGCACCTAAAAACCTTGGTGTGTTTCGCTAGCTTTTTCCATAGGTTAAAAATTACCACGAAGTTTTTGCGTAACTTATCACGCCTATAGCACGTGTGCCCTCATGACACTAAATATTATGTGACTTTCTTGTGGCACGCCATGCGTTCTGTTCATCCAAGAGGCCCACGCGCGAGGCGAGTGTATGTTTTTAATAACTTAGTTTCCTTTGATAAAAAAGTTATCATCATGTTTATGTTGCAAGTTATCGGTTATGCGGTGCTTATATTATCATGTTATTTACACAAAAAATATTGAGGATGTTTTGAACAACTTTTTTCCGGGACAAAAAGTTATCATGGTGATTCTAGGTAACCGATCAAGCCCGTAATGCTTAAAATATCATGCTATTTACACAAAATTTATCAGGGGTATGTTTTAGCAAATCCCCCTCCCCTCACGGGTCAAAAACTTATCATGGTGTTTAGTTATCGCAGTGCATATGTTTTCATGCTATTTACACATAAAAATGCCAGGGGAGGGAGGTATACTACCGTGCTATTTACATAGAAGATGCCGGAGTATCTTTTCAAAAAAAATCCCTACGGTCAAAGTTACCATGGTGTTTCTACCTCAGTTATCAGATGTGCGCTGCGTATATTACCATCTATTTACACATAAATTATCGAGTATCTTTTCACATTTGTCTTCCTCAATGGTTAAAGTTACCATGATGTTTGTATCTAAATTATCAGGTCTATGGCGTGAATGTTATCGTGCTATTTACAGAAATTACCGGGGCGGGTTCAACAAATTTATTCCCAATGATCAAAGTTACCACGAACATGTCAAAAACAGTATTTCCCTTAGCTTGCTCAACAATGAGTGTCATCGGTGAGGTGGTTAGCTCCCTTTGTTGATTACCTGCAGAACAGAGATCAAATCCTAGTCCAAGCATTATTTTTGTTGAAAATCGGGAAGGCGCGTGGGCCATAATTGACGATTACGAAAATTAGGAAGGCACGAGCGGGTGTGCCCGATAAAATCGGGGAGGGCGTGCGGGAAAGGAAAGAAATCGGGGAGGGCGTGCGGGAAAGGAAAGAAATCGGGGGAGGTCGTGCGGGAAAGGAAGGAGATCGGGAGGCATGCGGGAAAGGAAAGAAATCAAGAGGACGTGCAGGGAAGGAAGGAGATCAGGGGGGAACTGACGGCGCTAGATGCGTGTGGCAGTTTCACAATCTGCCACACGGTTGCCAAATACATTTTTCGATTTCAAAATGTACAGTGTTCTACAACAACATTATATATTCATGAATCCATCTCTCAATAATCTTGTTCAGGAAGGTACCTGAAAGGTTGTTGTTTTTACATATATAAGCACTCCTGTGCAATTATTTAGTTAACTGACCACCCAAGTTTTGTCCTCTGAATAAATTTAATCCCCTGGCGGGTCACAGGCTATGTGCTATCTGTGATGAACTCTTCATGTTCTGTTGTAGTATGTTTCAGTTCTGTTCCCTTCCCTGTCACAATTGTTATCAGCAATTCACACTGTACGTAAACCATGGAGCTGTGATGTTTTTCTGATTGGATTTTTTCTTTAGTAAGGAAGGGCATCTGAAGTAAAACAATTAATCCCACTTTGACAAAAGTCGCAAATCATGTTAATGTTATGATAGTGTTAGCAATTTTGTGTTGCAGTACCAGTATGGTGCATGGTCTGGACATATGCTACCGGTATTGTTTCTGATTGCCCAAACCGAATGCAGAGTTGCAAGTTAAACTTAGGCTGATGTTTTCTCCCATTGTAGGAACCCTCTCCATGACTTCAAAATGGTCACTGGGCCATCATCAACGCCATTTTAGCTAGAATTCTTCTGAGAAAGTACTCAAGGTATATCTTGTCAGAGTAGATTTTGATGTAGTTTTTTTTCCTGTTTTACTATATCATGATGTAGCTTTTCTGTTTGAAAAATATCATAGTCTTCAAGAGCATGCTAAAATGAAAACAATAATCCTATTACCAATGAATATTTACTCTTTGGTGTTGGTAGTGCAGAAGAGTGCTAGGAAAACCTCGGTCTCGGGTTGAACGGCAGGCGTGTAGTCAAAAGTGACTAGACCTTATATGGGCTACGCCACTAAATGGCATTACCATGATGATGGTCCTGCCCCGCCCCCACCCGTAAACCGCGTATTTTGCAGTACAGTAGAGGAAGGGAGCGCCGAGCGACGCCCTTTGCATAGGTGCCATACCTCTGGAAGACGGTGCCGATTTATTTGCATCTGAAACACTTGAACTACAATTCTTAGCCTACTTATCCTTGGCTCATCACGTTCATGGTTCCCTTGGTACTTCTGTTAGTCCCCAAAGGAGCAATAGTGCAATATAGAGAGGACAAAGAATACATGAGAAGATGCAAACACACGACTCAAGAACAATAGCTTTACATTGTTCTAGTACATCCATTAGAAGTATAAAAGAAAAGGCATTTTCCATTTCTTGGGCCTGCAGCTGGTGTTTTTAAGCCATTTGTTCCAAGAGATCCATTTGCGGTGTACATATTGCTCGGGCAATTGATCGATTCACCGCTAGCTTTACATAAACATCTCTTGATTGATTCTGTGTGTTCTCACTGAATGACTGAGGATTAAAGTTTGTCACTGATGATATCTTCTTGCTGATACTTATGTAGGTACCTACCGTTTTTGCTAAGCCAGGAGCTGAAGACAGGAAGAAGAGGCAACACTGAGACGCGCATTCAGTTATCCATGGGAGGAGCCTAAATTCAGTCATTATCTTGCCAATGCAACTTGGTTATTCTTATAACATATTTACAACTTGGTGATGCAACTGTCTATATAGGCTATATATATTTACAACTTGGTGATGCAACTTGGTGATGCAACTTAGTGGTAGTGGTGCTATCTTCTTCAGTTATCCCTGGACACTTGACATGTCAAGGCTGTAGGAAGAAGCTAAGCTAGAACATCAGTTAACAGCAACGCTTTTGGAACGCGTCGATGTTCTTGTTTCGATCCTTCGGAGCAAGGTCGCTTCTAGCTCTACTGCTGAAACCTGTATTTATAGCCCGCGCCATTTTTACTAACGGTAGGGGTTCCTTCCGACTGTCTACATTTATAAGTTCTGTTCTAGCTTGTACAGTTACATAGAAGAAACTCTAGGGCTAAGCTACACTACTAGTACAATTACAAAAGAAATTGCGACAACATATGTGGCAGCGCAGGGAATACCAGAAAGAAAAAGAACCCAAGCCTCAAACGAATTATAGATTAGGGAAACGTTTCAGGCCGGAGCGCCGGCCGAACCTTCGGCCGGTTGCGAGCCATGCTGGCACCCCGTGCCCGCCCAAGACGCGCCCCACGTGAGACTCCTGTTTATTGTTGGGCCCCATGTGGACCACTCCTCCTCCCTTATCTTTCCCCTGACTGCTGCCTTCATCCCCTACCTCCAGACACATCCTTTCCCATGGCCATATTTCTTCTTCCTTTTCCCTGCGCTGCTGCCTACCGGCGGCCGCTGCCGGCCGTGTGCTTCGCCAAGGCAGGGGGACTACCTGACTGCTGCCAGTCCTCCTCCTCCACACATCTTCTCCCCCAAAACATCTCTCCTTCTCTCTCAAATAAGCCATGGTTCAAGACGAGGCAAGGTCTGGGAAGGAGGCTGCAACCGGTGCCCGGGGAGGCTGCGACCGACCATGAGACGGCGAGCATGGTGACCTCAGGACGGCGAGGATGGGGCGACGCTCCTCCGAGAAAACAATCAACGTCGTTATTTTTGCTACATGCTTCAACCTGCATCGGAATTTGCTACAAATGGCATCGCATACTGCTGCCACCGGTGTCACGATTTGCTGCAATGCACAATCGACCTCGCGTTTTTGCTACAATCGTTGTTGCGTTTTGCTACAACCGTTTTCATTTTTTGCTACATATGTTCAGGCTGAGCTGCGACCCGACGACGGCGGCGATGACTTTTTTGGTGCAACCATAATAGATTTTTGGTACATCCAGCAACAGTTTTTGCTACATCCATTCTTTTTTCGCCGGCGACGATACAATGGTGAGATACAACCACCGATGACGATGACAAGTTTTTTCATCAAAAAGCTGCAACGGGCATAGTCAAAAGCTGGAACCGGCCATCAGCGGAGCTGCATCTAGTGTGGTGGTGCCCCGGCAGCCATGTCGGGCACCTCTCGCGGAGCTCGACGCCCATGGCCATGGCGACAGCCCCTCACGGAGCTTGACGGCCATGGCCATGGCAGCACCCCTCGCGGAGCTCAACGGCCATGGCAATGACAGCATCCCTCGCGGAGCTCGACTCCCATGGCCATGGCGTGCCCTAGCAGCCACGGCGGCATCCCTCGAGCGGAGCTCGACGAACATGGCCATCGTGTCCATCACCAGGCGGGGAATCATGCACCTCGCGGGTCACAAGGGGCGCGCGTCTAGCGTGAGGAAGAAGACGAGTTTGGGGGAGATTCGAACAGTTACGGGCGCGCAGATCCTACAGCTACCGAGCGACCGGCCGAAGGCGCCTATCGTTGCCCTATAGATTATATACTACTCGTACTTCCTCTTAATTAGCTCCCTCTATAAGCCACTTGATTTCTTCTTTCCACTTTGCTCGACAACTCTAAAATTAGGCTGGATGGCTTTAAGATGTATTCATTGCTGTGCTCCATATAGAGTTATAAACATGTGACAAGAATGATAATTTCAAGCGAAAAAAGTGTCTTTCAGAAAGAGATCAATGTGATTGATTTGTTCCTTGATAGAGCCTGCCAAAGGAGTCCATGCAGTACACTAGTAGACCCAACAAGCAGCTGCAGATTGACAGTGGAGGTTGAACTCTAGTTTCCAAAGTAACGCAAGTAAAATCGGGTATGAATAACTAAATCCACTGTCATATACTGTACGAATGAATATGTAGGAAGAACAAAAAAAACCTATTAAGACTATCTAAATATTGTTAAAGCACCAACTCCGGGGGGAAGAGCCACATGACATTCCATCCCAGGCAGCCAGGCTCGTAAAACCTCGTCGGTTTAGCATTCTGAGTTTTCATATTTAACACCTCGCCCGACTCGAGAAAATAGATGGCATCCTCCTTGATATCTCCACAAGGTGCAGAAACAAACTTGGAGAAGTGTTGGCTGATGAATAGTGCTCGGCCGCCACCGAGCCCATTAGCCATGGGCACCCATTTGCGTGTCTTAACATCGGCCATGAAAACATCAACCTGGCGAATGGATGAGGAATAGTCTGAGAAGATATGGATGTGTGGCTTCACCATGAGCAGCTCCCCGTGTGACTGGACTAAGTGCCAGCAAGTGTATTCTTTATCGCGCATAAATCCATGATGTGAGACATTCCGATAATTGAAGTTATTTCGACCATCATCATCATTTGGCACTCTTGGCCCCTCATGAAAATCATTGACCACCACATTATCAGCCACGGCTATCATGCCCACCGCAGCCTCTTCTTCTTTTTCTTCTTCCTCCTCCTCCTCGCCTTCATCCCCATCATCTGCAGCGACATCAATATCTATCACTTCCTCATCTTGGTCATCGTGATCATCAACATCATCTTCGTTGTCGTCGTCGTCCTCATTGTCATCTTCGACGTCGTCCTCATCTTCATCGCCATCATCATCTTCATCGTTGGCTCGTTGCTACTATAATCATCATCCCAACCATCGTAATCAATTGGCCGTCGGATTACATGCCTTGCAATGGTGACCATGGGCCTTCCATCCTCATCCAACCCTAGGTCAAAAGGGATAAGGTCCTCCGCCTTGCTAATGCCATAGAGCTTCTTTCCATGGAAGGCAATGTCAATGATATAAACATATGGAACTGCCCGTGGTTCGGGCACCCACACACCCTTTCCTGGCAGGATCACGATGAGCGGATGGTTCTTGTTGGTGGTGACGACGGCCATGAAGTCATGGGCGGTGGATTGCATCCGGAACTTGCTGACGCGGTAAGCGGGGTGGAGGGCTGCGTCCAACTCGGTCAAAGAAACACGCTCTCCGGAGAATATATTGCGTAGAACATAGTTGTCGATGAGTTCGGGGGTCCGGTGGTAGACGCCGAAGAGTAGCCACTCGTCGGCGGAGCCGGAGAGATGTGAATTCTCGGGGATGAAGGTGGGGTGTCCCGAGGGACCGTTGGTGGGTGTGACGACTTCACCATCAGTGAAGACCATCCATGGTAGCTGGGCTGCCTGGGGTCCATGGCGTCGCACGGCGGAGTGCCATGAACGGCACACGGCGCGGGAACGGGCGCGGTCGGCGGGGTTAGGGAGGCCGGCGACAACGAGGTCTAGGAGCTCCGGTGGGAGGTCCGCCCACGACGTCGCCATAGAAATCAATCGTTGATAGTAGAATCGTACCAAAAGTGGGGTACTTATTGTAGTCCTGCACCGTACGTAGTACGGGCAGAGATAGAGTCATGCACGTCGCCGGCGGCCAAGCTCCAATCTCTTGTACTAGTAGTATAGTTTGTATTGACGTCCATCTAATGCATGATTTGTTCTATATCAAACTTTGCTAATTGTGATTCTCAAAAAAAAACTTTCCTAATTGTGCATGTTGTCAGTTGTCACTTCCAGGATGAAATTAGATTTTTTTTTTGAAATAAGATTAAATTAGAACTTATTTTCCTTTGTTGGTCGGCTTTAACTGGGTACTCATATTTCCCTAAAAAAATATTTCCCTAGAAAAACTGGGTACTTATATTTCCTTTGAAAAACAATATTTCCCTAAAAAAGAAACTGGGTATTTATATAAAAAAAACTGGGTACTTATACTATCACATGAGACACTGTATCAATGTACATTTTCGTAAGCATGAATGCATATCATTTTTTCCCGCCTAGACATACCGTATTTTTGTAAAATGTAGAAAATAATATAAATTTTTAACTTGTTAAGAACAACAAATACAGTTGAAACTCCACATCAAGTTAATCAAAAGATTAGCTACGACAATTAATACATAGAGGGACGTAGCCAGACCCAGGCTACTAGGGCCATGGCCTGGGGCGTCACGGCTTGTTTATTTGTTCACTGTAGCAACCGGAACACTATTTGACATTATTTACTAGGGATAATTAGATTTATGCCCCTAGTTGTGTCCCACTCGTCTGTTTTATCCTTAATTCCCAAAAGTCACCGGTTCTGTCCAAGTCACTTTGATCCTCTTATGCTTTTGCCCTTTGACCGTTGAAAACTTCATAACTAATTCATACAAAATTAAAAAAAATGCAAATAAAATACCAAAATGTTCAGAAAAACATCACCTATATGTCAGTGTCATTTGCATTCATGAAAAAAAGTGTTGGAAAGTGCACATCCAAGTTTTAGCTCTTTTGATATCACCATGAATAGTAAACTCTAAAAAAATTCAAAAAAAATATGGTGGCAAAGAACGACAAGTGTTCTAAGTGCTTGCCAAGTTTCATTAGGGAACGACATTCGTGGAAGTCGTGGCAAAAAAGTAATCTATTTTGGAGTGCTGATTGTTTTTTTTTTTTGCCGCGGCACCCACAAATGTTATTCCCTGATGAAACTTGGCAGACACTTAAAACATTTGTCATTCTTTGCCACCAAATTAATTTTGAATTTTTTCTTGAATTTTTTTAAATTTTACTATTCATGGTGGTAGCATAAGAGCTAAAACTCGGATGGGCACTTTCCAACACTTTTTTTCATGGATGCAAATGACACTGACATATAGGTGGTGTTTTTCTGAACATTTTGGTATCTTATTTGCATTTTTCTGATTTAGTATGAATTAGTTATGAAGTTTTCAAACTGACGGTCAAACAGTCAAAGGGCAAAAGCATAAGAGGAGCAAAGTGATTTGAACAGAACCGGTGACTTTTGGGAATTAAGGGTAGAACAGACGAGTGGGACACAACTAGGGGCATAAATCTAATTATCCCTATTTACTACTGTAGTTAGGTTGTTAGCAGGGGCATGCTCCCCTGGCTACGCCTATGAATACATACACAATGCAAATGGGCCTGCCATAAACAGATCATCAAACCGCGTCTCGACCAACACCGGTCACCTCAAAGAGCAACAACTTCAACTGAACTTTCCTTATCAATGCACCAACCACCCTTCAAAATAGAACATAAAAGTCCTTTTGTACAAGTCTCCTTTGAAATAAAAGTCCTTCAAAATAGATGATGTACCAATCGTGCATTCTTGTAAGGGCATCTCCAACGCAGACCCTCAAATCGCCCTTATATGTCCTTTGCAGGAGTCGTGATGGGTTTTTCCATCCAATGTTATCCCTCAAGTGTCACTGAATAGTCCGGCAAACTAGAAGCAAACTAGGGGGTTTGCTTTGGGGGAGTCCAGACATCCGTCTAGCCAACCAAAAGCCATCATGTCGGACATCCGGGAATTCTCTCTCTCTCTCTCTCTCTTCAACTGCGACATGCACATGCATAGATGGATATTTAGGGGACATGATTGGATAACCGGCTTCCACATCGGTGTCCTTGAACTGTTCCGGACCAGACCGTGGACAAATAATGTACCCATTTTAGGGGTTATCATTCGAGATGCCCTAAGCATAAAAGCATACAAATTTTTATTCTGACCATGGTTGCCTTGCTGATTATATTAGGCATCTCCAATGCAGATCTCATTCCGGCCTAAATTGTTAAGAGTCGTACTGTTCATCACGGATCCTTATATTACGCCTGACATGCTCGGATGCCCAGAATTCCCTGGGTTGATCCCAAATCGGGGGGCTCAATAGGGGATTCCGGAATCCGAATGTCCGCCGCGTCGGAATCTGATAGACCGGACCTACTCAATCACGCCCCCTCCATTTATAGGGTGTTAAGCAACTGGATTATGATTGCAAATTCAAGTTAGCTGGAGGGTAATTGTTGCTTGACATGAGTGCTTTAGATCAATGGTGACATAAAGCTAATGAAAATGCTAATATATTTAAAGAAAAGGTTAAAATTGGCATGACAAGAGAAAACAAAAATGTGAATTCAAAATAGGAGATGAAGTCCTTCTGTACAAGTCTCTTTAAAACATTTTGCAGGTAAATTTCTATCCAAATGGGAAGGCCCATATATCATCGAGGAAGTTTACTGGCCAGGAGCAATCTCCAACGCGGACCCTCAAATCTCCCCTATATGTCCTTTGCGGGAGTCGTGATGGGTTTTGCCATCCAATGCTATCCCTCAAGCGTCACGGAATAGTCCAGACGTTCAAATTCCGGCAAACTAGGGGGTATGCTTTGAGGCAGTCCAAATATCCGTCTAGCCAACCAAAAGCCATCATGTCGGACATCCGGGCATCCTCTCTCCCTTCAACCGCGACATGCACATGCATAGATGGATATTTAGGAGACATGATTGGATGACCAGCTCTCACAACAGTGTCCTTGAATTATTCCGGACCAGACCGTGGACAAATATTATACCCATTTTAGGGGTTAGCGTTGGAGATGCCCTAAGCACAAATATCTATGTTGCTTCCGTGTACAACTTTGAAGGACTCTACTTGACCTTGTCTCGCCTTCTTTGACAGGGACTCCTTTTTTTAAGAGAAAGAGAAGGGCTTTAGGAACATTTTAACTACGTATTAGGATGATGCAAGTCATCCAATGTAGTGCCCCATCAATCCATAATCTCGCAAACTAGATGCAAATGTCGGAGTTCGGACGTGCCGCCACTTACCCGCCTGTTTGCCATGTCCTACTTAAAACTTTCTTTGCTCGAAAAACCCTCTCCAAACGAGCCATTTGCAGCGCATTCATGTTGATCAGGCCGGTACAGAGCAGACGCGACTCCGCGACATTGATGCTTGTCAGAACAATGTGACCGGACGAGTGGGCGGCGCCGCTTCAATGCCAACACGGTGACCAAGAAGCCTACTTCAGCTGGTGTGCCACATTGAAGCCAGTGGTCTGCTCGTTCGCCTGGCTGTGACTACTTAATTAAGCATGGCTCTGGCATCATCCACGCTACACATCAAATTGTCTCCTCTTCGTTCCTTTTCATCTCTGCTCATCATCGTCGATGATGACGAAGTTCTAGGTCTCCACGCCGACAAGTGGTGTCTCCGGATCCGGGATCGTGGCGTCCTCACGCCGCTCTCCGGGTCCAGGGCCATCGTACCCCACGGTGCCCGGATCCTCCGGGAAGGAGGAGATCATCTTCTGCTCCGGCGACGAGGAGGAGCGGAGCCACATCAGTCGTGCCTCCTCGAGGAGGTCGCCGCAACAGACGAGATTATCGGGCGCACTTGGATCTCCTTCTCGAGTGGCCGCTCGAGGACCGCGGTCCGTCGTCGCCCTCGCCGCCCCTCCATCGCATGAAGGCGGAGTCGAGTCGGCGTTGTTGCTTCTCTGGCGCGTCAAGGCGAAGCCCTCCCCCCGTGCAACCTGTCCAAATCAGACGTCATGTGAAGCAGGAGCTGTGCGCCGGCGCCGCACCGCCGTTATGCCCGAATTGACGAGTCGGCGTTGCCGTCCTGCCGCATCTGGCGCGACAAGGCCATGATGGAGGAGGTGCCCCTGGCAATTGCGAAGGCGTGTGGCCGCCTGGCCGCAACGGCAGCTCCTCGTCGTGGAGCATCATGACGGTGGAGGAGAGGGTGGTCAAAAAGGTAGGCGGAGGGAGTAGCACAACGAACCACGCCGGGCGTTTGCTCTAGAAATTTGATCTACAATATTTTTTCATTATCATAGTGGATCTTAAAAAAAGGACTTTGCTCCTACTTAAAACAATAGTTGTAATTGTATTTCCGAGCTTAGGTTTATTTGCACCCGGTCAAAAAAATTCATAATTTTTAAAAAAATTCCCTAAAAAATTGCACGGTAGATAATTTGGTGCATGAAGTGCGCTCCAAATTTCAGATCTTTTAGACATATGAATAGCTCCGAGCAAAAAAACAAATTTACTTAGAACAGTAAGCTTCTTTATAGACCCCCAAACTTGTTCATTTTGCCGAGAGTTACTCAAATGTTCAAAAGATGTAAAATTTGGAGTGGACCTCACGCACCAAATTATCTACCGTGCAAAAAGAAAATTAGAATTTTTCTGATATTTGTTTTGATTTCTTTTTCCTTTAGGGTGGGTGCAGATGAGTCCGGGCATCGAATCGCTGCTCTTTTGTATTACAGTGTTTTTCTTTTCTATAATTTTGTACGGTCAGTTCAGTTCAGCTTCAAAGAAGAGAGCACGAAGCTTATCTCAAGCTTGGAAAACCTACCTTTGTCTCTCCACCACTCGCCGCCGTCCGTACGAGGAAGAGGACCCTCTTCTCCTCCCGTCCCGACCCGGAGCTCCGCCGCCGCCGCGGCCGCCGCCTGACGCGCGCCGCCGCTCCCTTTCTCGCCGCGTCCCTGCCCCCCTCCGCAATCTCCGGAACCCGGGTGTTCGAGGTACGAGCCTGCTCTTTCGCCTCCAAAGAACCGCGGAGTAGGCGGGTAGTGACATTGGAGGCTTAATTTGGGGGATTCCTGCTTCCCTGCTGCAGATTTCATCATGCTTTCCCTGTGGTGTTGGGCGCCCGCATTCGGTATAGCATTCGAGAGAGCCGTCGTTCTGCGGCCGCGAAAGTTCAACTCTCTAGTGGTGAGCTGCTTCATTCGCCTCCATGGCATGCGGGGTTCGTTCAGAACTTGGTGTTGTTGTTGGTGGTGGTGGTGCTTATCCTGATTAGTACTGTGCAACCTTGTGGCGCAGGTTTGCGGTGCCAGGGGTCCGAGGCCGAGATATCCTCGCGTGTGGAAAACTGATAAGAGAATCGGAACCGTGTCCAAGTCGCAGAAGCTTGTCAAATGTGTGAGGTTCTTCTACATTTCTCTGTTGTAATTATCACTAGAATCTGTACTCTATGTAGATTTGTGCTTATTCCTGCACTGAGACACTAGATTGCCCCATAACTCCATGCCTGCACTGCGACAAAAACAGTTGTCTCTGCTTCAGCTTTCTGATGGAACTCTACAACTTTCAGTTGCTCTGTGGTGATTTAAATAAATTGTTACATGTAGACTGTTTATCAGAAAATAACTTTGGGCCGACAGGGATTATATGTTCCTTGTTATTTTGGCACCAAAGGGTTGCAGCCAGAGTTCCGTTTCAGGATTTGCGTGACACCTTTTTCCTTATCCTGCAGATTAAGGGTTTGTCTAATGTAAAGGAGGAGGTTTATGGTGCTCTTGATTCATTTGTTGCATGGGAACTGGAGTTTCCCTTGATAGCGGTAAAGAAAGCACTGAAGACGCTTGAAGATGAGAAGGAATGGAAAAGAATAATTCAGGTATCAAATAGGAGTTCATGCTTGTTTGTGTGAAGAGTCGATTATTTTGTCTGCTGTGTTTCTATCTTGTATTTCTAATGAAATTGTTGGTGGATATTATTTCTCTATTGAATATCTAGAATTGACTCCTCCCTTTCAATAATATTTTTTTCTATGTCAACAAAATAATTGCATGGTCTTCTGTTTAGGTTATCAAGTGGATGTTCAATAAAGGTCAAGGGAAGACCATGGGAAGCTATCAAACTTTATTAAATGCTTTAGTCGAGGATGGACGAATTGAGGAAGCAGAAGAGCTATTTCAAAAGATATTCTCGAGATACATGGAGGGTTTGCCCCGTATTTTTTTCATGAAAATAATCTCCTTGTATTACAGATTGGGGTCATACGAGAAGATGTTTGAGGTAGGAAAACAAAACTTGATATATTGTGTTTAATTTCAATGTGCAAATCTTATAAATGTAGATTTTGCACCATTTGGTCCTACTTGCATGGAGGGGCAATAGCTATACTACTGTAGAACTATCTGCATACTTAGCTGACATAGTAATACGCGAATCTGTATTCCTTTTATTTATTTGAGAGAAGTGCATTTTTCAACCCCGAACTCTTGCCCTAGTCTAATTTACAACCCCGAACTTCAATACCATCTAAATTACAACCCTCAACTCTCAAAACCGGTCAGGATTCAACCCTCCCCTCCCTGTTGACTGGTTTTGACCAGGGGCGACCAGTTTTGACCAGTCAACGGGTCCAATCAGCATGCCACATCAAAAAAAAAATCAAAATTTCAAGAAAATATAATTAAAAATCTGTAAGATCGAGAAAAAAACCGAAATAAAATTTCCTGGGGAAAAAGTTTGCGAAAAAAATTCGAGAACTTTTCCTGTAATTTTCGGGAAAAAAATAATAACTTTTTTGGAAATTACTTTTTCTAGAAATTTTAACTTTTTTATTTTACATTTTTAAATATTTTTCTTGGGAATTTGAAATTTTTCCCTGGAGTTTTTTTAATTTTAAGTATTTTTTGGTTTTTCATGGAAATATTGATAATTTTGTTTTCGGAAATTCGTTTTTTTATTTTTCCCTGATTTTTTCCTGCAAATTTGATTTTTTTTATTTCTTTTCCTGGATTTTTTTCGATTTTACAGATTTAAATTTTTTTGTTGACGTGGCATGCTGACTGGACCTGTTGACTGGTCAAAACCGGTCAACAGAGAGGAGAGGGTTGAATCCTAGCCGGTTTTGAGAGTTGGGGGTTGTAATTTAGACGGCATTGGAGTTGGGGGTTGTAAATTAGACCAGGGCAAGAGTTCGGGGTTGAAATATGCACTTCTCTCTATTTATTTTCACCTAATTTTGTGCTTGCCTTAAGAGATTTGGAGTTTGAGTTGGTTGTATTCTACATGGTATTGACCTTACACTGGATGTGATTGTCTCAACATTTGCTTTTGTGGTAGAAAAGCTAGGCTTAAAGGAACATTGTTGCAGAAATGATGCTTACTGCAATGGCTGTTCCATTTTTAACCGTTTCATGTTTCCTTCGCACCCCATCTAGGTTTTTGCTGATATGGAAGAGCTGGGTGTTCGACCTGATACCTCGATTGTCAGGATGCTCGGTGATGTATTTATGAAGCTAGAGATGTTGGACAAATACGAAAAGTTAAATAGGAAATATCCACCGCCAAAATTTGAATACCGATACATCAAAGGCAAGCGCATAAGGATAAGGGTTTATCCAGACGATAGTACTGAAGAGGTAACACAGAGAGACTCTGGTAGAGATGAACCGGAAGATGCAGGAAGCATGAATCCTGACAATGAATTGAAAGAAGTGCCAGGAACAGGCCTGGACATGAATGTATTAGGCGATGCGGCTTCTGGAGACCTTGAATTTGTATAGCTCAGAACTTGAATGTGGCGTTTTCGTGTCTGCTTCATCATAGCAGGTAAGGTTAAATTTGGCTGGTTAGCTTGGTCTAGTTTTGTGTCAGTAAATCTTCAAATACTGAACTAGAGAATGTTTGAATTATTCTATTAAGAAACTGGGAGATGTCGGTACATATCATGCTGTTGGAAAGCAAACAAATAATAATTATTTCACCAGTTTTTCAAAGTTCTTTTAAGCAGCCAAGCAAACAAGTCATGAAATAAATTTTAGAATGTAATGTAAGGTGTCCAACATGGGAATGAGAGAATGTAGAATGTAAATGATTGGATCAAGATTATGTCTGCAGTGTAAGGTGTTTGACAATGGAATTTAAAGAATGCTGTGTTTGATGTAAATAAGAAAGTTCTTTCAGAGTATTGAGTATTCATGGTGGTTTACTACATCAGCATTTGTTCTGCTTGCATATTGCTCATGCTTCATCTCAATGCTCCTAATTTGATTTACACATATCTGTAGACACAAATCGTGATGATAGTATGGAGCTTTGTTCATATTTTCGATGCCTATAACATGGAGTGCTTCTGCATTTTTCAGTTGTGCCGCAACTCTTTCAATAATCTAGCAATATTAGGCCACTCTTGCCATATTTGGAAACAACAGCTGTCCAGCAATTTGACTGAAGATGTCCAGCTGTTCAGTAAATGATATGGTATGTTCTAGGGACCTGATGATAGTTCATTTCCGGGACAAGCTTTATTTAATTTTCTTCAGAAAGATATGTAGTTAATCATCTTTGGCATGAGGCAGGATACAGTCCTTGATGTCTTTGTTGTGTTGTATTCATCAAGAATTGTGCATTGGTGCGGGAGAGAGGCAGCTCATTCTGGATACATTGCAAGTTTTCACCATGTCCTGAGACGGATGGACTTAAAATCCTGACTACGGTCACACGAGATGCTTTGGGTAATGTTCAACTGTTTCAGGAAACATGTACAAGTATTATTTGTAGCACTAGCATTAGACAGTAGTACGTATCTGAAATGGAATGGTTGTACTAGAAAACCTTAGATGTTAGTAATATCGATCGGGTGTTGTAGATGAATCTTTTGCCGCTTTCAGCGTCGTCTTACATTACCTCCTTGTTTGAAAAAACGTGAAGCGCCAGTTCAGATAGTAGCATATAGCTATGGATTTGTAGCGAATCAGGTTTATTGCTCTGCAATTCTCAAACGTGGCCCTGTTAGATACATTGAAGGGTTCTTGAGCAGCTACTCGCCAATAAGGGAATCAAATGCTGCAGGTTACTGGAAATTTACAGTGTCTAATCTGTGCACGTACGGTTCATAGCCAAAGAGGGATAGGTGCTGTAAAGATGTGCAAAGACCATGTCTTGTTGAATCACATTGTGATCAAATCATTTGCTCTAAACTACCAATAGCACAATCAATTGATTATTTTCTTATATTTTGCAAGCAACAAGCATATGATACTAGAACCAACAAAGCGGCACACAAGACCATGTGTTGTTCCATGTGCAGAGCATAGCAATCTTCTAAGCAACAGTTTGACCATCCCTCCATGTACATAATTATGCCTCACTTTCTTTGGATGATTCCATGACAAGAACTACGTGTACTCCCAGTTGGATATGCCTCCCTTAAAGCCACCTGAATATACTGACTTGTATGTTCTTCTCCCTCGGTTAACTTTTGTAAGACGTTTTAGACAACTGCCATTGAACCGTTTTGGGTGTTGTCTGAACTTTCTAAAACGTCTTTGAAAAGTGAACAAAGGGAGTACAACCAGAAGACTAGGCTTCTGACTACCTTGCTGAGTGGGCATTGGCCTAGTTATATGAATTGAAAATCACACAAAGGAGACGAAGTGGTGAAATTCCTCAACAGCAAAAAAAGGTGATGACTAATCCCGTCCAGTTCCAAGTTGTGAAATCATTGAGATAAAACTTTATGATCAAATATGTTACTAGAATGTAATTAATACTACAACTCAAAGAACTTTTTCATCACTTCTTTAGATAATGACAACTCAAAGAACTAGAGGTGCAACTGTTTCATAGTTCCCATCACCAAAGGAACTGGCATGCGCAAAATTGTGAAGCTTCTGCTTTTTTCGACGACATATTTCTACTTCTTTAAATGGACAAATTTCCCTTTTTTCTTTTGATACATCATTGAGTAGTGATGAACATGAAAGGTATGCATCTGAGTTTCGAAGATCACAACCAGCGTTTGCTCTACTTCAAATACAGTAATACTGGTACATAATTTGATGTCTTGACAAATTATAGCCAGTAAAAATTTTCAGGACACTAAAGCGGTTACATAAATGGATGGAATATTCAGAATATTAGCAAATTAATTGTATTCTTGTTCTAGTCTGTGGTTACCACATTCTTGCAATCCTTGAGCAAGGGAATATCATCCGGTGCAGGACTAACATCTCCTTGGTAGTTTGTCTCCTGTGTGGACTGTCCAATAATTTGGAAGAGGCATTGTTCTACTTGTTTCATGTCTAGGCGTTCTTCTGGATTAGGTTTAAGACACTCCACGGCGACCTCGCCGACCATTTCCAGGAGCTTAATGTCCCCCTCGCTTGTAATAGCCTGATCAAAAAAGTGCCTTGCTTGTTTATCAAGAGAAGCTTGAACAAAGCTCGCAACATAGCTCCTTCGGTCGTCGTGTATGGCGGGCCTCCTTGTGATCAGTTCTATGAGAACAACCCCGAAGCCGTAGACGTCGCTCTTCTGTGTAACAACTCCATGCTCCATGTATATTGGATCTATGTAATTTAGATCCCCAACGACGCGCTCGGTCTTCACAGATTTTCCCCTCGCGAGCAGCCTCGTCGTTCCAAAGTCTGAAACCTTTGGAATTAATTTATCATCTAGAAGAATATTGGCAGATTTAACATCGCCATGGCGTATCGTACACTCCACTGCTGAATGCATGTATGCTAGGCCTTCGGCTGACCCGACAGCAATTCCGAGGCGCGTATGCACAGGTATGATATCTATGCGCCTTAGTCCAAACAGAACATCATGTAGACTCCCCCTCGCTGCATATTCGTAGACCAACATTGGAGCATCCACCTCCAGGCAACAGCCTAGGAGCCTGACGAGCACAGAGACAACAATGAAGGCGGCAATGCCTGCAGAAGTGCAGAGTAATGAAGCTTTTAGTTAATGCTTGTTAAAACATTAACATAGTGAGTTCAAACAAAAAGATTAGAAGCAATGAAGTATGTAAGCTGTTGTTTTCCTATTATGTACAACTTATTCAAGAATTGGAGGC